AAGTAGATCCCCTTAGCTTTGTGGGATATGTTCCGAGATCCACCATGGATGCCTGAAACTGAAGATAGCACCATTTCCTATTACAGTGCTCCAGTAGTCAATCTGATAACTGAGACGGCAGCTCAGAGACTAATGGGAAGGTAGCATATACAGTGTGGATACACTATACATAGGGATAATTCATGTCCTAGAAGAGATGGAATACACAATGCTGTATTTTATCATACTCCTTAGAACCAGAATAATATGGGTTTTAAAATTTATGAATTGCTCATTTCAGGAATTTTCCATTTACTATTTTCAGATCTCAGTTGACCATGGGTAACTAAAACTATGGAAAATAAAACTGGATAAAAGACGACTACTATATACATAAGACATTTCCATTCTGCAAGCAAGAAAACTAAGGAGGATTAATTGGATGTATAAGATTTTAATCCTCTGACCTGTGTCCAATATCATTTTCCTGAAGTGAAATTCAAAAGCAACAGGATAGAAACCAGAAGATTGGGCAAGATTGTTCCTTTGCATATGACTGTTGGGTTAGAAAGGGATTTCTCTTGATTTTTTCCCTTCCAAATAACCCTGACTTACTCTGTTCACTTCTCACTGTATTCCCTCAATACTTTATGGATTTCTTTTCCTTTGGTTTTGTCTCACACATGCTGCTTTGTGATTGTCCTTTTTTTCTAGAAGCTCCCCAGCCCTGGCTCCTGATATGTGTAAGCCAGTATTTCCTAAAGGCAGAGAAGGTTTCCAAACATGGACACTCATGGGGAGAGGCTCCTGTCTTCCCCAACCCCACTCCTTTGGAGAAAGGATGGCTGTTTATCTAACTGAACTCAGGTGACCATCCAGCCACCCGAGGGCAAATCAGCTTGCTCGTCACAGTGAGGAATTTTATCATGGTCTGATCAGATTCACAAAATAGAGTCCCCTGGGGACTTTCAAGTGGCTCATGGATCTGTTTCTTCTCTTTGCTCTGTCACATACTCTTCTTGTCCCTTCTCTTTCTCATGCTTATTTTCTGTAACCTAGTCTGAAAAGCTCAAACATGGAAGAAAATCTTCCACATCTGCCTTGTATATTTTTTCACAGGCTAAAATAAAAACCAAACAGTAAAATATATTGCACAGTCCTGGCATTGCCCTGGAGTGTCTGCACGGGGTGGTGTCATTGCTAACTGATGGAGCTGGATGGTGGGAATATGGTGATGACTGAATGCCTACTAGAAGTTTCAGAGCCCCTTCTCATGAGCTTCCTCATATCATATAGACCAATAATTTGAATCTGTTTGGAGTAACTTCTTGGCCTGGAATTGTCCTCCAAATGCTTTTTTTAAAAAAATGAATTGGCTGTTTTAGCAGAATAGTGTTTTTAATAGCTTGAAAAACGATATCCAGATGCTCAACACAAAGGAGGAGGCCAATTCCCTTTAACTCAGAGCCTGCCACAGTGATCCTTAGCCTGGTCCCTCCCATCTGGACAGTTGCCCTGAGTCCTCTGGGGAGCTCCAACTGGCCCCAGCTCCAAGGAAGGCAGGCAGGCAAACCATCTGGAATGCATCGTCCAGCTTGGCTCCATGCTGCCCAGGCACCCTGACAGCTTTCTGGGTCCTTGTAAGGCTTGGATTTCATCCATCAGCCTTCTCCAGAGACCTCCAGACTTCTCTTTGACTCCTTCCAGAATTTGGATTCCACAGAGGCACAATTAGACCAGCTAGTCACTTCCAAGTTTGGCTGTCCCAGGAAAAGAACCAAGATATACTCTGAGAGACACTTTCCAGCAGCTTTTGGTCCAGGAACAGATAAAGATGTGGAGCATTTTCTGCAAGAACCATTTCCCCATCTCTCTTTATTCCCACTGAACTATCCCAGTCATCCACACAAGCCCTGTTGATTGACATTTATTTGGGAAGGAATTTATCCCAATCAGGTGCTTTGGGGGGTCTTTTAGAAATGGCAACGTGGCTCTCCAAATTATCTCCACACCATGCAGAGTTTCCTTGAGAGAAATAAGAAGATCAAATCCACGAAGAAGGGAAGGGATTGGGAAGAGGTTTGGTATTATCCTCAAATCAAATCTGTAGAAAATGATTGATGTTACCATGGATTTATTGCAATTATTTCTTTAGGGTGACAAACATTTTGTTAGTATGCAGAAAGTACAGATTGGTCCCTTACAAAGTCTGAAGCTCTTCCTTCTACTTTGTTTCTACTCCTAATTGTTTTCCTTTTCCTCGAATTCCTGACTAGGGGAGCAGATTCCAAATTCACTGGATCTAAATGAAAGAGTCTAGTGTGTCTCCTATCGAGCTCATTCTCTCAATTGGCTAGAGTGGAAAAAAATACCAGGTTTACCTAGTGCCATAATTTCAAAGTTTCCTCGTATCTCTTTGCACACCCCTCACCTGGCAATTTCATCAAGGATTCCTCTCTGTGTCACCAGCCCCCTTTAGCTGTGGCTCTCAACTCTGATGATGATCAGCTGGAACTAGCAGATTACAGCCTGAGACCAAGATATAATGCTTGGTCAGGTGCTCAGGCAGCTCAGTAGACCAGAGAGGAGCAGGTTGCCTTTCTGAGCACTATCCTGCTCTCTCAACCTCAAGCTATCACCACATGATAGACAAACATAACAAGACTTGGAGCAGAGAGGGGGGTCACATTGTCCACTGCATTTAAACTGAGCAGGAAGAGTACTCTCACCACTATGTGTAAGAATCTCTTATTGGCTGCCCTATCTCCCCACCAACTTCTGCCCCTTGGGGCACTCCAACCACTCCAACCTTCTCCAGGATCCTCTCTTCCATTTTCCTCATCACCTCCACTATCTACCAATTCTTCAGAACCATTTAGTACTCTGTCTACTTCCAGACCATCACTTTCCCTATCAAAGAAGGCCTGCAGGGCCTTGCTGTCACGGGTCCTGGATTCCCAGAAAGGAAGAACTTTCCCTCAGTAGGATCTCTTTCTGCTAGATCTCACTTGCAGAATGCAGCAATGTGGCAAGGGTGAGATGGAGCTGGGAAACTGGTCAACACAAAAGCTGGCCCTAGAGATGCCAGGGGCAGGCAGACAGGCAGCTTGAGGGCAGGTTTTAGCTTGGTTTCGTATCTGTTGGGACTGAGGTTCCCAATTTGTTGGAGAGAGCGTAGCCCCAAGGAATTCAAAAGGCAGTCAGAGCTCAGGAGCCCTGGGTCACTAGGAGGTAGGCTGTGGACTGCAGGATGTAACCGTCTGCTGTGAGTAGAGGTCAACACTCCATCCCAGGAATGAGGACACCCACAACACACCCATACACACACACACACACACACACACACACACACACACACACACACACGAGTGGATCATGCAGAGCAAAGTTTCAGTATCAGAAGAGGCAGGACAAGGACGTGAAAAACACTAATGTCAAAGTATTTGTGAGTGTGGAAGATAAACAAAGGGTCACAACTCAGGGCCAGTGTGCATACCCAGTGTCACTGCTGAGGCCTCAGATCTCTGGCTCTTTTACCAATGAGGACACTGGTTGAGTCAAAAAGACACAAAGCCTTTAAGAGTGGGCACCTGGCTGTGGGACTATGATCTGATGGTAGGTGAGTGGGCTGGGCTATTTCTGTCTTGAGCAGGCAGGGCCAGTTCTGTTGGACTTGGAAAGGCAGAAGAAACAACATGGACACTGGTACTCATCAGTCATAAAGAAAAACATGTTTATTATTAGAATAGCACCTCCCTGGCATCCTGGCCACAAGCCAGCCTGACGTGGTGGGGGAAAGCACTGGAGAAGGAGTCTTGGAGACTCTGGTCTATTCTGGCTCTAACCAGTAACCTACTGGGAACCTTGGATATGTATTGTCATGAACTACTGGCCTTTGATTTCCTCATTTGTGAAATCAGGAAGTTGGGCTCAATCGGTGGTTTTCAAAATATGGTCCTGAGATTGACAGCATCAGTGTCACCTGACAATTGAAATGTTCTAGTTATTTCTACTATGAGAAAGGCAGATTTCCAGGCCAGACCCAGACCTATTGAATCAGAAACTCTGGGAGTGGAAGCCAGAAATCTGTGCTTTAACAAGCCTGCAGTTGATATCAATGCACAGCAAGGTCTGAGAAGAAATGGGCTAAATAATTTCCAGGTCTTTGTATGGGTCTGTTAGGAGAGATGAAATCAATCTGCCTGTTTCCCTTTCTCTGTCTCTTCATCTCTCTATATGTCTCTGTCTGTCCGTCTGTCTGTCTGCCCCCATACCCCAGAACCTTCCCACAAGCCACACATAAGTTGGCCGGTAAAACCACCAGCCTTCTATTCTGGTAGTTAAAATTCTCCCCTTCCCCCAGCTCTGTCCTCTTTCTCCTCAGCCGTCCCTAATCTCAGAGCCTGCCTCTCTGCAAGAGATGCATTAGTGTTCTAGTCACCAGGTGGCAAATTGTACCATAAATTCTTGTCTCCTCTACCTCCTGCCCAATTAGCCAGGGGTAAGATAGGAAGATTTACTCTTTCCCACAAGCAAGGTCACAACCTGAAGTCGTCATGGAAGCCAGTTTCCATCCCAGCTCTCTGTTGGCTGCTGCAGCGGATTGGCTCATAGGCAGATGGCTCTGCCTGGTAGCAGGGATTTCATAGGCAAGGCAATACAGGGAGGGTAACCCAAAGGGAAGAATAGCTGTGCTAAGCCTGTTGCCTTCTGGTTAAAAAAAATTATAGATCTATTTATAACTTGTCTTGCTCCACAAAGGATTTGAAGCGGCTGCCTTCTTTGTTGGAAAATCCTTGATGCCAATACTTGGCATCTTCTACCATGGAGTTCCTGGCCCAGAGGAAGGGGCCAAGTCTTTCTTGTTCACTCAGATTCTGTCTGTGGAAGACATAATAGGTACTCCAAGCAACCTATTCTAGAATATTCTCCCTTGTTTATCTCCACAGAGAAAATGCAGTCACCATAATCCTGTTTTTGTTTTTAAAAGGTATAACATGGCTTTACATTTTTCCTTACAGGTCACATAAACAAGAGTCACTAGGAAAGGCCCAAAAGCCCAGGGTGAGTACTGATTGTCAAAGATCTTATATAAAAGGAATTCTTCAGTTTTCTGTGGTGATCTATTCCTGCTAGGAAAGTGCCCACTGATCAGTTATCAGTTGGATGAATACTTAGGAGCTGATTTGGGTTGTAGGTGCATTTAAATCAGTTAATACATGTTACATATTTAGAAGAAGGCTGGAACCACAGTAAATGCCAGTGATTAGAGAATTACCTCTCTGTCTCTGTCTCTGTCTCTTTCACTCTGTCTGTCTCTCAGCATAAACATATCCAAGTCCTTATAGCCTCTCCAAGGAGGCTAATGGTAAAGGTTTAGTATTTTCATGCTGTCCTCAGGCCAGTAGGTTAGCAGAGACAGCCACAAACCACACTTTGACATGGGCTGAGCTTCCTTCCTCATACAAGGCATCATGCTTGAGACTGTGGGCCTGCCCTGGACTGCAGACATGGCTGAACCCAGGCACCAGCTGTCCAAGTTTGGGCCCTACTGTGCCCAGCACAGGCACATCAGTGACACTAATCTGCATGCTTGATGTTTACCCCTAACAATCTTTTTGGAATCTGATTATTAAAAAATTTTTGTAAGAAAGAACCAAGAGCAAAGACTATTCAACATAATTCTAGAGAAGAAAAGAGACTTACCAGAGATCAAGATTTGTCATTAATCTATGGAAATTAGAATTGTGCTATTAGTGCTATTATACCAGTGGACTAGAGAACCCTGAAACACACCACACCTATATTATATATACAAGACAGGGAAAGCATAAAAATGGCCAAAGAGGAAGATAGTCCACTCAATAAGTGGAAATGGAAAGTTGGTATAAAAAGATAAAGTGGATTTCTACCATACACCAATTTTTTAAAAAAAGGAAACTTAAAAGTAAAAGGTGCAATTTTAAATCTTCTAAAAGAAGCTACAGAATTCAGAATAGGAAATAATGTCTCAGATAAGTAATAAAAGATACTGGAAAGGAAATGATTCATATACTTCACATTAAAAATTTAAACTTACACTCATCAGAATTCATTATAAAGTCAGTCTGGGAGAAATATTTGCAACATATGTAACTGGCTAAATGTTAGTTTTCAGAAAATAGAAATCAATACGAAAAAGTAAAACACACTAATAAGAAATGGACAAAAATTCATACACAGGCATTCAAAGAACAGGAGACTCGAATAACCAATAAGTAAGCAAAGAGGTACTTAACCAGCCAATAATAAGCAAAAGGAAAATCAAATCTCCAATGAGATACTTTTTTTTTATACCTGTCAGATGGGCAAGAATTTAAGCCTGAAGATAACAAATTGTACCCTCTTGGTGTGAGTACAAAATAACTTGGCATTTCCTGGTAAGGAGAAAAGGGGGCCGGATTTCCACCCAGTTCTGCTACCAGGTATATGCACCAGAAATTTGCTCTATGTATATGAATATGTATGTCTATCTGTATCTAAAAAAAAAAATTTAAACCAGGACATATATAAAAGAATGCTTTGTGTTTCCTGTTCAGACTAACCAACCCAAAACTAGGCCTGGTAGCACATGCCTGTAATCCCAGAACTCAAGAGGCTGAGGCAGGAGGATTGCTGTGAGTTCGAGGCCAGCCTGTACTCTGTCTCAAAACAAAACAAAAACAGAATAACTAACCCAAATATCCATCACCACAGAATTAACAATAAATAAATAAATTTTGATATGTTCAGTGAAATACTGTATAGAAGTAATAACTACAAAGAAGTAACTGCAAAGAAATAATAACTATACACATCATTATGGGTAAATCTCACAAATATGGAGTGAACTAAGTAAGACAAAGAAAGATATTCTGTTGTTTCATCTGCTTAAAAATAAACATCTGGAAAATTAAGGTGATATGGTTTAGTGGCATCAGGTGATAATAAGAAAAAGGTTGAAAAAACACTAGGCTTGGGAAATCCACAGGACTGGTGCAGTATCCTAGAACTAGCAGTCCATTCAGGGAGCTTTACCATTCCAAGGCCTACGGGAGCCCAGGGAGGACACAGCTGTTTGGAGGGTGGCCTGCCTGGAGTCTGGTGGCTCCGTAGGGAAGGCACAGAGGAGCAAAGCCTCAACCTCATTTTCCTTGTCCTTTGTTCTGGCTTTGCTTCGGCAAAACCTCTTAGGGAATCAGGAATCAAGGGAGCCCCAGTGCAATTGGAATGGGTGAGCCTTAGGAGCACAGGGCAGGGTACAAAAGGTTGGAAAATGGATCTAGAGGTGAAAATGGAGATTACACAGCAAAATACATGTGAAGACATCATAAAAGGTAAAAGGGTCACTAGCACACATCTCAGCAGTGCCGTCTCTAGGAACAAGAACAGGGGAGTTGAAATCAGAGACAGATACCTGCGAGCTCCCAAAGTGATAATATTCTCTGCCTTGGGCCTGGGGATATAGCTCAGCGGCACAAGTGCCTGCCTTGCAAATGCGAAGTCATGGGTTCAATTTCTGGTACCAGAATATCCTGTGCCGTAAGCTGGGATGTGGAGTCATGAGTGCTTCTTTTACTTTTTCAAATATGTATGCATAAATTTATATTTCCATGCAGGTATCCATTTCATAGAAAAATTTTAGGAAGTTGACAATGTATTAGGTAGATGAGATAAAATGAGAAGAAGAGCATCCATTGGTTCTGGAGACAAAGGGGGCCTGGAATCTCTGCTTCACCACTAGCTGGCTCAGAGTAAGCAAATAAATTAGCTTCTTTGATGAACCCTGCAGGGGCTTGGGAATCATTGTCCCAATGTCAAGTACTGCTGTATGAACAGGCTCTCTCAGGCTTTGCCCTCATTCGTAAATCAAGATAATACTACCCTTCTCACTGACCAGGCACAGAGCCTGCTTGGCAATTTTGAGGCCCTGAGTTTGAGTTCTGATACAAAAAAAGCCCACAAAAAACAACAAGAAAAAGAACAACAAACAAACAAACAAACAACAACAACCAAACTACCATCCTCATGTGGTCATTAGGATTCACTAAAGTCACGCATAGGGTGTAAACTCACAGGCTACACTAAAATCTTTTCTTCTCTAGCCTTCCTCTCCAAGTCTACGTTCTCTTCCTTACTCTTGTATGAATTCCTGTGAGCTGACCACCCTGGTGTCCTTGACCTCTGGCATTCCCTTCCTTGGTCCTGCACCCAGATATGTGCCTATGCTCTATGTCTTTTCCAGCCTGGTCCTTCCCTTTGTCAGTCTCCTGGCTGAAACTGCACCGCTCCAGGAAGTTCAGCATAGTGTCTCCAGAGCTCCTTACAAACCAGATGCTAACAAAGACGGAAATTACAGTATCAGCACAGAAGCTCTCAACAAATACACTTGGGAACACAACCTCCCCCCCATCCATGAGAGCCATGTTCCAAGACCCAGGGGAGGCCTGAAACTGCAGACAGTGTCAAACTCTCTGTACACTGTTTTTCTCCTGTACATGCATACTGATGACAAAGTTTAATTTATAACGTAAGCTTAGTAAGAGAGTAACAGCAATAATAACAAAATAGAGCCATAATGGTACACTACAATCACAACTATTTAAAAGCATATGAATTGTTTATTTCTGGAATTTTCCATTTAATACTTTCAGACCACAGTTGGCTGCTAGTAAATAAAGCAGCGGGACGCTAAACCACAGATGGGGGCACTGCTGTATTGTTCATCTCATTGAAAAGCTGTTTCGAGCAGGATAATCCTTGCAGGCGATATAACAAGACCCCTGCCTCAGAAAAATAGAATGAAATGAAATCTTTTTCAAACTTAAAACATACAGGTGTGGATTTCTTTGCCAGTCTTTGCAGCCTAGGATTTTTTATGTCTGATTGAGTTCCTTGTCTTTCTTGTATCCTTCCAGTTTCAGTAAGATGGAGCAAGAACACAGTCACTTGAGAAGCCTAAGGTCACAGAGCTTTGCAGCAGACCTGGGTCCAGTGTCTTTATATTTCTCAGCATGGCGCCAAGTGGCATAGTGTCCTATAAATTTAGTTGAATTGCACAGAGCTGCCTGGCTCGGATCCGGAGGAGGCTTGGGATGGGAACAAAGAGGATGAGCAGTGAGATGCGGCGAGCCAAAGAAAACTTGACCCAAACTGTAACACTGCCTCTGGTGGTCATCCCCAGATCAAGAGCAAGACATGGTTTCCTGAACAAATGCTTCAACTAGTGTCTGACTCATTCTGCAACTCAGTCCTTTTCTGGTGTGTGAGATGGGGAGCTGGGGAGCAGGGTCACGGGCTGAGAGAAACCAGCTTTGACTTCTCCGGTCACCCAGTTTCCCTGGCTTCTCCTTTTGTCCAGTCTGTGCTCTGAGGTCAGAATCTAGTCCATAGTTATTTAAAAGTTTTGTCTTGGCCCTGGAATGCTGGCATGCTCTAGTGGAATTAGATTTGCTAAATGCAATTTTCTAGGGCTGTTGAGGCTTCACTAAGAGGTTGGGTAGGTTCCCAGGAGACAGTCAGTAGACATGCATTCATGTATGTGTGTGTGTGTGGGTGTGTGTGTGTTCATGTGTGTACATGGTGTGATCTTTTTCACCGAGACTAAGCAAGCACAGATTGTACAGAGAGTAAGGAAAAGAGCTTACAGGCAAATTTTGGCCCTTGGAGCTTCACGGTGTATACATGCTGCTGCAGACTTTACTGTCTACCATAAATATTGTCTTAGTTCTTCCACAGAGATCAGGATCTCCCAGGGTGCAAGGGAAACTATGCAAGTTCAGCCTACACGTCTGGCTGGACTTGCCCAGGGACAGCACATGGTGAGACCTACTGTTCTCCATCTTCCTGCCTATCCACAGACCCTGATTTAGAAAAGCTACTGCCCAACAGGAAAAAAGGGGCAATGCTGGACGTATTCCTGATTAGTGCTCCCTGTGTCATCTATTTCCTGGTAGTATGATTCAGGTCCTTGAGAGATTTGGACTGGACAGAAGTCATTTGTTTCATAACAGGGACAATTAAAACATGTCTCAGAAGTTCCTAGGACCCTCTAAAGCAGCTTCTCAATTCTAAAGAAGTTCAAACTATATCCCAGAGAGTTCTGTGACTTCCCAAAATCACACAGCCCAATTGGCGGTCTGGCTTATGAAGCATTTTTTTGAAGGACTAAAACGTCCTAAAGTTCACATGAATTTTTACACTAAATAAAGAGCGAATTAACAACTAGCTCCCTGCCAACTAGCTTTGAAGCTTTGTTCAAATTATTTAATCCCCTTTTCCTTCTCCATGAAATGCTGTAAATGATCATTGTGTATCAGGAGTATGCTAAAGGTATGAGGCATTTACCTTGAGAGGTCTCTCAGACATAGTATACAAAGGGTGATCTAAATACACAGTGAATGTTTACACTGTAAAGATTTATCTCTTCCAAAGAGCTTAAAACATCACCCTACAATGATACATGCATACCAATGTCTGTAGCAGCACAATCCATAATAGCTAAACCCTAGAGGCAGCCTGTATAACCCTCAACAGACGATTGGATAAAGGAAATGTGGTATCTGTATATAGGGTAATACTACTTGGCTATAAAAAGGACAAATTTGAGACATTTTAGCAAAATGTATGCACCTGGCAAATGTTATATTGAATGAAATAAATCAGACACACAAGCTTGAATACCATATGGTATCTCTCATTTGAGTACGACAAAGAAACAAAAGAAGGATAGAAGGAGATACGGAAATGGATTGGGTCCAGGGGACCAGGGACAAGGGACAAGGGACAAGGGATGGGGAAATAGAGTGAAGATATGGCAGATATGTACCAGATCCTAAAAACCTCAGGGAATGCGGACATTATTTGCGGACATTATTTGCCATAAATATGAACTAAGGTTAACAATGTCAATAAGAATGACAAGGGGGAATAGGGAATTAGAGGAAGAAAGAGAGAAGAAGAGAGGAGAGGCGAGGAGAGGAGAGGGGAGAGGAGAGGAGAGGGGAGAGGAGAGGAGAGGGGAGAGGAGAGGAGAGGGGAGGGGAGGGGAGGGGAGGGAAGGGAAGGGGAGGAAAGGGATTAGAAAAGGAAGCTACATTACATCCAGGTACCAACTTCCCAAAATGACTGTAAAATGCACATACAGCAAACGTACTAATAAGAAAGTTACAGTAAGAGACGCATTACCCTTGACTCTCTCAGAACACCCTACTGCACTTCAAACGCACTGTCCTGTCACTCTTGCCACTTTCTGGAGCAGCTGCAGAAACCCTTTTGTGAGTGTCTTTCAGGGAGACATAAAAGAAAACACGATGAACGCTGCCATGGAGTAAAATCCAGCAGAACAGGCTCATCGGTCATTTCTGGGTGTCCGCATCTACTTTATTCACGGATGGAGCCAGCACACATGTCACTCTTCTGCCAAATCAAAAAGACCATAAAAAGTAAGTATTTTGAATCAATTCAGGACATCGAGGCAATTACAACAGTGCGACCAAAGACACAAAAGAGGATTTCAGAACTGTTCCCCAAAGTGGCAAGAACGATGGGGTAAATGTGTCTAAAGTGAGGAAAGGTTTTGAGGGGGATTAATAGCACTGTGTCTTTTATTTTATACATTATTAATTTAAACATCATACTTTTTCTTTTTTGAAATGGAGTTATGCTGTGTAGTTCAGGATGACCTTGAACTCATTACATCGCCTAGGCTGGCCTCAAACTCACGGCTATCCTGCTGCCTCAGCCTCTCAAGTGCTAGAATTGCAGATGTGTGCCACCGTGTCCTGCTCACCATGTTTTTGATCACACCACACATGTTGCTTCCCTTTTCCTTCTCTTAGCATGCATTTTCTCTGACTTGCCCTTAAAATAACAATAAGCAAAATTGAAATAAGTTGTTTCACGGACAGGATCAGCTCTGATCCACAGAAAGGCAGCATAAATAGAAATCTCCTGGGTGGTCCAGGTAACTCAGGGCTATTCGGTAAAGTAGTCGGGGCAGGGTTCTGGGAGGCAAGCATGAGGCTGGGGTGGTATGTGTACTGGTTAAGGAGAAAAGACTTCCAGCTGGAAGGTCAGTAGAGACCCTCTTCACAGCTTTTTTTTTAAACTAGAGAAGGAGAGACTCCTAACAGTGGGAGAAAGGAAGACTGCAGTCATTAGAAGAACCTTCTTGAATACACCCCGGCAAGTCAGGTTAACAAGGGGGCCCACAAATCCCAGGAGGGAGACAAGTGCGCATTCAGCTTCAGTCCACTGAAGCAGGCTTGTTGAATCTGAAAGGTGTGAGGCTGCCTGGCTGCAAAATCTGGAGTGGTTCCTCCCTCCTCTCAGTGCTGTCGGCAGAAGCTTGTTCCGGAAGCTTCCCTAGCTGAAAGGCACACGGTGAGTCTCCCCAACTGGGGCTCACTTCCTGACCAGGAAGACGCTCTTGACACTTGGCTTCTCATGAGTCTCCTGGTCATTGTGCTCCATGGTGCCCATGCTGGCTCCGCTGGGGAGCAGCCCAGAAACAACACCAAGATCCAAGGAGCCAGGATCAAAGTACACGGCCCTGCAGCTGCAGGTGCCTCATCTGAGTCCTCCGCACAGAACGGGGCTCCAAGGTATGGACCGGAAGCAGGTGCAACCCCCTGACAGGGGCACAGGAGACTTGCCAAACACTGATGCCAGGGAGGTTACAATCAGGCAACATGGAAATCCAAAACAGGTACTGTCCACTTCAGCTATCTGACGTGCTTGGGAGAGGCAGAGAATTGTTTGGAGAGCAAAGCAGTGCAGTTGAAAACAGTGAGACTCAGAGCGTAGCTCCTGGCCCTTTTTAAGTGATGGGAGAGGAGGGAAGAGACTGTGGCGTGGCTGGACAACCACTGCCCAGACAGTGCTTACTGCTCCTGCCAGTTGCCCTGAAGAAGGGTTCTTTTTCTAAGTAGTTGCCTCAATATGAAGGTGGGTGCTCCTTGCTGTGAATTACAGCTCTTACTAGGTTTCCAAAATGTAGCTCAGCACTCCATCCACTGAAGCGCTTTGTGAATTGCCACCATGTGTTTTATCACAGAGGTTTTTCTCACCCACCATGATTCCCCATCTCGGCCCTTTCCCCAACTCAGGGACAATGGAATGTCTTGCCTGGAATCAGAAGCACAATTAAAAATGGAGCAGGTGGAGGACAAGGACTGAGGCCAGTGAGCCAACACTGGGTCCAAATGGACAAAGCTGGGGAGATGCCAGGACAACGGCGTTTCAAGCTGGCAGGCAGGAAAGCAGCCAGGCCAGAGACCTGGTACTCTGCCCAGGCTTTCTCAGCCGGAGGTGAGAATGGACTGCATTTGTGGGCATCCCCAGGTGGCCCAGGGGCGACTCTTTTGGGTGCCTCAATTCTGTCTAGGCTGCTACAAGCTCCTCCCAGGTGAGGACTTTCTCTGGCTTCCCCTTAGTTCAAGAAAGTAAAGACTGGAGTTTGGGGACCAGTTGTCAGTCCTGAGTGTCCCCTTCACCATTTACCTCCATAGATCTGTGAGATCTGCCTGCAAACAGGATTGCCCTTCTCACAGCCTGCCCTTCTGTGCCACAGTCCCGTGGGGTTTCATGTACCTGCCCCACACTGGACTTTCAATACTCATTTATTTGGCCATTGTCTTAAACTGATAGTTAAATTTTTGGTAGTTATACAATATGTCTCATCCCTTCAATTAAGCAGTTAGCTATTTTGAGTTTGAGTATTTTTTATGATCTTTCACTAAGTACTTTGTGTCGCTTGTGTCATTTAATCTGCATAGTGACACATACATCATAGTGTCACTTCCTGGCTCCAGTGCAGAGCCTCCATCCACTGGCATGGACTTTCTAGCTTCTGCCACTGAACTTTGGGCCTTCCTAGTGCAGATTTGTGAAATAGACTTTCATGAGACACTGTCATGGGCTCCAGGCCTCCAGCTGGATTCTTTGGGTCTCTAGTGTATGGACAGATCTCCCACACTCCTTTGCATTTGACTTGTTGGGTGACTATTATAAAATAATCTTATAAGCTATGTGTACTGTACTAAATCTTTTCCCTTGAAAACCTGACTACAACAGCTGCCTTGGCCTAAATTATGTACAGATCTTGCCAGCCTGGTTGATTGCTAGGATGAACAATGGTTCTGAATTGCCTGGGAATGTCCTAATCTTAAAGCTAGAAGTCCTTTTTAGAAAGAAACCTCTTAGCCTTGTGGCTGTTTTCTGATCCAGTGATGTTTTAGTCTTTGGTGCTTAGTAATCCTTGCATTTTTCTATAGATTTCCAGAGAATATAATTTCAATTTAGCAGTAGCTATAACAGGTTTGAGGCCACAAAAGCATAAGGAGTATTATTAGGGATTTTTTTCTCCTGGTGGAGGAGATTGCTTGGGTTTATTTTTCTAGAATTGTGCCAGAGGAGCATAATTGGCAACATCAGCAGCTCTCTTTCTGCCCCTCACATATGACCTACTGAGCTATTTTTTATTTTCCCCTTGCAATTTCATTCTCTCCAAACACTTCACCTAATGGCTCCCTTTCTTCAGTATCATTCATTACACAAAACTGGGCATGCAGGGCATTCGAGGCACAGCAAGAACAAAGAAAAGGGCATGGACTTTGCTAGCAGAATGATCTGATAGGAATCTTGTTTCTGACGTTATTTTATGTCCATGTGCAAGTTCCTTAACCTCTCTGAACATCACCTTCCAAAGGATAAAGAGAAAATCAGCAATGACATATGTAAAGTGACCTGCAGAGAATGGGATATGATAAACAACAAATAGCTGGTGAAAGACACCATTTCAAAAGGGGAGTTCCCTATGGACTGGCCAGATGCTGCGCTTATGAGAGGTTGATATACACAAAGAGATGCTGATGGGTGGCCTGCACCTGCCTGGTGTGGCTTCTGAGCTAAATTCTGCTCTTCCCTGTCAAAGAAAAGCCAGATAGCACACTTGCAGGATCCTATGCTCCTTTGTATCACTTTCTACAATATGAATCTGAAATTTATTTTGGTAATTATTTATCTTCTCCACCTACTGAAAAAATCCCTTAAGGCAGGGACCACCGTCTTGCTCACGGTGGCAGCTTCATCTAAATCAGTGCCTGATACACAGCAGGCATGCAGAAGTATTTGTTGAACGAAATTGAGCAACCATTTAATGGTCCTGGAAGACTTGTCTGCAAAGCCGCCGAGGCAGCGGTTTACCACTAGATGGCTCTAATGCCACACAGGTAATTTATCCTCCTGTGTTTTCTCAAACTAGAGTAAGAGAGCAAAGACTCAAATTGCAATTCCGCTTGGAAGTGACTCTGCTGAAATTATAACATCTGTATTTCACTGAGCACCAGGCTAGACAATTTATAATGCATTACTGTAGCTCTTTTATCAGCCACAAGAAAAGGCATCCCTTATACAGATGAGCGAATGAATTTCCAGTGAGTTTAAGCAACTTTTCTCAAGCTATTCTACTTGTAAGGGATGGAATAAGGCTTGGGCCAGGGCTGTTGGCCTCCAAGTCAGTATTCTTCCCAGGGTATCCTACCGCTTTTACTTTGGTGGCCTGCTACAGGCCATGATCCTGCTCCCTACTGAGATCGCCCTCTAAATCCTTGTGGCCCAACAAAAACTACATAGACATTGATTTCTAAAAAGGCAACACATAGGAGAGGACAAATGAT